AATTCTTGGCAGCAGCCCCCGAGATGCCACAAATTAGTTTGCGCCAGTACATTCCCGCGTCCGAGCCGCCGCAAAACGTTTTGTGCGCCATCTCGGCCGCAGACGCATAACATCACGGCGTCATGTCACACTGCATGACATGTCATGCGAGCAAAGAGCATTATAGGCTACGCGCTGCTCGTCCAATGAGTGATTGGTGTCATATGAGAGAGAGCAGATATCTTATTATTAGTTCGTCCTGGGCACGTAACATATACTTACTAGTGCATTTGCATGTAAATCTGATCATGGCCCGCGGCCTTAGGCATCATTTGTTAGGGACCTTGATGGAGAGTGAGATATTTAGTTGCTTTGTAGATTGATATTTGTGTTTTGCAAAATTGAAAGGCGGTTGAATTTTGAAATGAGTTGAACTGCGGTAAGTATTGCAAACAAGTTGGCCCCAAGAAAGGTGGACCAAACATCAATTGGGGGACTTGCACCAGATGTTCATGTGCTAGAAGGTTGAAAGTGCAGGAAGAAGCAGGACTCGACTTAATAGAGGAGTTCCTTCATCCTGGCTTAACACTACAAAATTACAATCATCATGATCTGAAGTCTGGGCTGTGTCGGATGTTTTGGCAGGTCAGGCTGCCCAAACATCGCTGTCGACAGGTCTACAGGCAGTGGACGAACAAGACCGAGCGCGATATGCATGTCAGGATCCTGAGCGTCTCTCCGCGTGCTGCTGGTTGGGCGGAACTCCCCAAATTCCTGTGAAGACTCCAACTTGCTGGGGTGTCAAAAGTTTCAAGCTTCACAACTCAAAAGTTTTTTTCTTGAAAGCTGCTAGTACATTTGACATCCTGGAAAGCCTGAGATTTGAGATGTCCCCGGCGTACAGTCTTTGAGGTATTCTTGGCATTTGGTTTCTTTACTACAAAGTCAATCGACATGATTCAATGCAAGTTCTTCCCACTGGTTTCCACCGGTTCCCCAGATTTTTTTTGAAGGGAGGCATTGGTGTTTCATGCTTTTGGGGGAAGCAACACGTTTTGGCCGTTTCTTTTTTGTCATGTCCCTGGCTATCCAAGGTGTGTAACTTCTGTGGCTTTGCCATCAAGGCCAGATTTTCGCCGCTGAGTTTATGCTGTGTGAGAGGTCTTCCGAGCAGTGGTTTGATGCTTTCACGCTGCGAATATATGTGTGTTTTGGCAGTACGGGTACATGGCTCTCAGTTTGTTTTTTGTTTGATGTTGTTTTCATGCGAATCAGATACATATTAGACCCCCCAAAGTGGGTTTGCCAGAACATGAAAAACGAGTTTGTAAACACGTCAACAGCCTTGGGGTTATATACATAAATCGTTTTAAGTTACAGGTCTTTTTATTTTGGTGTCCAAAATTTTTGGAGATCTCATCTCGGACTCTCAACCAGTTGGTGTTCATGTCGACTCTCTACAGGGTTCCAAATGGAAGCTCCCCCTATTTGGACCAAGATGATCAACCAGCAGGGTGAACCAATCAATTTGAGGGGGCTCCGCAGGCAAACGCGGTGTTCTTCTGAAACGCAGCTGCACCAACTCTTGCCTGTACTTCGCTTGGGAGTCAAACCGTTAAGCCAACCCGCCACTGAGCGGCCTAACATGACAGCTTCCTGCTTCCTGCCTTGTCCTGAGAGACCACCGTCCACACCATCCCATGGCCCATGACTTCCGATTTCGCCCATCTCTTGCTTCATCAGGCTTCTCCCAGCGAAGCAGCTGTGCGGGCACAGGACCTGGGTTTGGCCGATGGAAGCTGCTCGGAGAGACCTACCTGAACCATCCTGAACCAGTTTTGACGCCGATGGTTCACATATGTTCACCAGACTTGACCGGTATTCTGTTCCCCCCACCATTTTCAGACCAAGCCAGGTGAATTTGTTGCTTCGAAGCCTGAACACAAACTATGGGTATGGCAAACACGATCAGCGATGGCCTTTGCCAGGTTGCTGGGTGTGAAAGAAAGGAATTGAGATGGATTGAGTAGCAAGTAGATGTCGGGATCCTTGCCTTGAGTTATTGTGAAACTGTTGACGACCGTGTGTTTTTGTTGGGTAAGCCTCGTTTTGGAAGATCAGGGCATTTCTTCATGGTGTTTGCGCGAACCTTGAACCGTTTTGTGGTACCCGCGCACAATAGAATACAATAGATTCTAGAAGATTCAAGATGGATCTACAGGGGGACATCACCAAACCTGCCATCAGAGAGGGTTCTTTTCGACGTGCTTGTCGACCCCTGGCAAGGAGTTCCTTTGAGATCATGTTTCCTCTAGCTGGCCCCCAGAAACCATCATGTGTTTTCTTGAAAAGTGCTTAGGCAGTTCGTACCTTCCTTGTATCTCCCAACAGCGCACTGCCTGTTCGGGCTGGTGCTCAACGGGCTTAGTGGCAATCAACGGGTTTCATGAATTTCGACGATTTCTGGCTGCCAGGAGCTCTACCAAGAGGACATCGGCACATAGAAGCACGGCGGGTGGATGATTATCGCATTGAGATTCCCCACTGCGTAGGATACCCACTAATATTTCTTTAGATCAACATAGGATAGGAGTTTTCCCACCTAGAGCGCTTTCTAATGCTTTCCAGCTTGGCCAGGGCTTGTAGTGTTTACAGCCACTACCACTTGCTATGATGAGCACCTAGCTGAGCCCCATTGCGACCCAGAATGTTACAGTAAAGCCCTTGAATTCCTAGTTGTCGCAGAAATGTTATCCGGCCAATATGGCGGGTAGATAACCCCAAAGCCCTTGATCTGCAGGCCTAGAAGAGACATCAATAGACAATTCTTTAAAGAATCCGACCTCACTTTTCATGGGTCTTTGAGGCTTTGAGATGTGGTCATACAACACGATGCAATATGAAGCTTCCAGGGGTCCATCACTTGACTTGAAGCTTTAGAGATGTGAAGCTTTGGTTTGTGAAAACCCCACAGAAATTCAAGACATTGGTGCACCTTCCACTTGTGTTTTGCTTTTGTTGCAAGGTGTAGACATGAGTCACCAGATTACATTATATATATAATGCTGTAGAGCGCCCTTTGTATAAAGTCATTGCAAGATTCAAAGCCTGGCAGACCGTTGAACGGTAGTCAGCAAGACAAATGCACCACAGACCTGGTTCAAGGACGATCCTGAAACAATTTACACACAGCAAATTTGTATGTGTATATCCGTGTTCGTGGACGTATTCAACGTTAAAGAAATGAGGCGAACCCTTAAAGATAAATGATTCAACTGACATAACATCGATTGTGCTGGAAAACACCTGTTAAGATTTGTGAGTCTCATACACCGAGCCTTAACAACATGCAAGTGGAACATGCACAATGCCGTCGTGTCATGTCGTGTCCGTGCGGGAAATGATCAGTGGTCTCTGTGGAGCAACCCCAAAAACATCGTAAGTGATGTTTTGAATTTACATAATATTAACAGAGTTGTAAACAAACACGCACACTCACACAGACACTCGTGTGTGTCCAACGCACGCACAACACGCACTAAAGCACATCCCGCACATAACAAATGTGTGATTGTAACTTACGCTGATGAATCATTCTTCGCTTTGTAATAGCCTGTAAAATGAAGAAATTATGTAGCATGACAATCATGACAGCCACGAGGGACATTTAGTGTTTTTCGTTCTGATGACAAGAAAAAGAGTTTGGTTGGACGTGTCATGTGTCAATTCAGGCAGGACGTTTCAGTGTCAGTTCCGGAGTTATTTTTTTGCTCGTTTCCTGCTGGAAAGAAGACGTTTTACTTGTCATACATTATACATACAGCACGTGTTTGTTCATTTGACATGAGAGCTTTGCCAGCTGTTTTACCCTGAGATCAGACAATGTTTTCTTTGCATAATAAGCCATTGCACCAGATATATAGGAGCGTTTGTATTGACATGTATTGAAGCAGTATAAGCAAGAAACCCAACACATTGTTTCAACATTAGCCTCAAATCGAAACAGAAGACCATGGCCCATGGTATAATGTTTCCTGTGCATTGCGTTGTGGTTCTTGTGATTGTCCAAAAGCTAAGGTGATTGTCCAAGGCTAAGGCCGTGCTCAAGTTCACTCTGCTTCTTAACATGTATTGTTTTGACCCAATGTTCTGAGTACACCTGCTTCTCGTTTGGTTAGTGATTTGTCCTCTACCAAGTGTTTGTGTTCAGGCACCACAGTAATTAAGGACCTCGCGAATTCTCGCTTCGCGTAATCTTGACGACCTCCAGGATGCCAAGGCAAATCCCAACAAGGAAGGCACGGTTGTGCAGATGTTAAGGTGTACATACAGTAAATATTTTAACCGCTCCTGAGTCTTCAGCCCTTTTGTTGTTTGCCATACGTCGATTGCGGCAGGGGTTTTGGGTCAGACAACTGTTCGGTATGTCCCCGACATTATCAGGGGAGGTTCGTGGGATGACTTCAGCAAGATTCCTGGGAGCTTGCAGGGAGCTTTGCCTCTTTCAGAATAAGGAACTCTGGCACCAACCGCTTTTTTGCACCTTGAAGGCAAAGGAGAGACTATACTACGTGGTCACGTAGTTTTCCAAATGACATCTACCATGGACATGATGGAAAGATTCTAGATATACAGTGATCAGGATGTAATGGACAACACCATCCACTTTCGGGGAATCATTCTAGATATGGCTGTGGGCTGTGGGCACTGGGACACCCGGTCCGATATCGGATATCCAGGGATATGTCCAGACCCACCCTGCTGGGGCGTTTCTCCCACTCGTGGGGGAGAATCGCCTCGGAAGAGCTGCAGGATGGACCCTCCATCAATACTACAGGACTCTTCACTTGGACACTCTCTTTTTGATGGAACTTGAACGTCAGTAGTCAGCAACCAGATTAGCCCTTCACTTGGTTGCTTTGATACTGGACCCTGGCAAAAAAAGCAACATGAACCGAACCCCTTAGATCGACTTCTGGCTGTGACGCTAAGTACTCGATAGCCCACTTTCAGGATTCCGTAGGCATGTTGGCTCTCAGAGTGTGAGCTACTCGCCACCATGCCAGCGGCTCGGCAGCATGAAGATGAAGTGTTTCCATAGGTTGGGGTTGGTTGGCACCATGATCAGCAACTAAGATCCATTGGTCCACTGCCCTGAAATATAAGCAAAGCATTTGTAACCGGAATCAATAACAGCAACATAAATACATAATAATACATATATAATGAAACTAAATAACATGCAAATCGCTCGTCAGCTCAAGGTTATTCGCCCCAGTCACCACAATCATCTACAATCCACAATCGCTATCGCTACAATTTGGTTCATTGGCTGGACCATGTTCATCCAATGTCAGAGTCGTGTGAGAGCTGTGAAAAAGGTCGAGCGGATGTTGATTGGTTGGAACGTCACGAGCGAATGCGATGCTGGAACGTCCGACCTTCGTCGTACGCGCTTGGGTTTCGTGGATGAAACGCGTGCGTCGCAGAATGGGACAAACGGTGAAGCGCGCTTGGCGCCCCTTTGGAATCCACGTCACGCAGAATCACAGAATCGCGTGGTCGAACCGCTTTTTCGACCGCCTGTTTGGCCCACTGGGCTTGATGCAGCCACAAGAATAGCTATTAGATGAAGATGGAATAGCTATAGACTGTACGTCTTAGACCCATAGATACCCTCTTTTGTTTGCTTTCGGGATTCATGACAAAACCACTGGTTTTGTTACCCCTTGGGGAACCGGTGGACACCGGTGTTTTCCTTAGTCCGGTGGATCGAACTGGCGGTACGCGGTACGCGCTGAGGCGGTATTTCCCAGATCGGATCCAGTGGTCAAGGCCGACACGGGAGAGGATGACAGCGGGCGGGGAGAGGGAGTAAAGCCGAGATGGGTGAAAATAGGTGAACATGAGAAAGGGAACCGTTCAAAGTGAGTGGTGAATCGATCGTGATCTATCAATCCAACTTATAATGCAAAACCAGAGCACAGAAATCGCGCCGTCACTTGGATTCAGTGTGTTGGGATTGTGATGATGATGGTTCATGTTTTCCGTCGTTCCCTGAAAAGCTGCGAGGTTGACCGGGTTTCTTTTCACCCACAGCCATGCCATGCCCATAGACTTTCAGAGCTGGCCCCACAAGACAAGGAGGTGTATGCCGTGTTGTTCAGATTCATAATTCCTTTTGAAGGTGCTCTCCCGACGCAGAAACAGCACCTCTTTGATGATGTTAGTGGGTCTAGGGCAACCGTGCTGTTGTGCTTTCCGGCAAAAGGTCTAAACATGTCTAAACTAACGGTACGCAGGCTCCACCAAAGTGTTTCTGGATGGGACAACTATGCGCCCACAGCCATGGCCTTTCGTTCCATTTCCCGTGGGAATTGGCCCAGTTCTCGTGCGCCGCACCGCCGCAGAGCAGCTAAAATGGTCAAAATTCTCGGATTCGCGAAGACTGCGGAGGCGAAGACTCCTTCCTGCCATGACTGCTGGTGCATTCTTGTCTTCGGGCTGGTGCTGGCAGGCAAGGGGAGATGATGGGAGAAGGGGAGCGAGACACAGCGCAGTTGCTTCAAAGGAATTGTCTTAGTAGCTTTTTGTTACTAGTAGCGATGCCATGAAGAGGAGCTATACTAGAAGCGTCCTTGATCCTAGTAGCGATGCCCTTTGTTGCTATAGTAGCGTCCTCTTGCTACTTGCTACTAGTTTTTATATCAACTCTTAAGTCCAGTGAAGTTTCATGGAATTGCACAGCGACCGGACCCACAAAACGGGCTTTCTTGCTCTTTCTCGGTCCAGAAAATGACCACGGTCCGGATGTCCCCTGGTGGATGTCGGCTGCCTCGTTTTGATGTGACCGACCTCTTTTCACATGCACGAGTCGTTGTTCACAACCGCACGCCCTTGCATCCGAAAACACCCATAAACACATCAACATAGACGGAGCGCTTCCTGTCGGGGTGCCCTGGAGTAGGAGACCTGCTTTTCGTAGGGTGGAGATATCCAGCCAGGTGACCCCCGAACGGAAGCAGCTGGTAGACTGAGTTTGGATGGATTTGAGACCTCACTTGATGGATTTCACGGCCTTGCATCGTCAAAGCAGACAGATTTGTGCCTTCGTGCTCGAAAGAAGGATCCCCAGGGTGGATCCCAGCCAAGACCTTGTGAAGACTAGAGACCTAGCCAAAACCTTCCGCAAACAATTGGTAGAATGGAGTGAAGAAATATGAAGAATGGAATGAATGTTATTTGATGCAAGAACAGCTGGCAGAAGTGCAGTGTAGATGTTGTTCGTCGGCGTCATTGGGCTTGCAAAGTACACCAGAATATGACACGGTGATCCTGTATACAGCCATGGACATGAAGATGTCATTCATGCTCAACGGCGAATCATTTGTTCTTGAAGTTGTGCCAGAGATGACTGGCCTGGAACTCAAGCAGCAGGTCAAAAAGCAACAGAGTTGGGACAAAGAGGCAACAGTTTTGACAGAGCTTCTTATTGGAGAGGGCAAGTTTTTGGAGAATGACAAAACAGTTGCGGACGCTGGCCTTTCTCCAGACTCACATGTCACAGTGATTTTCAAAGAAAACATCGCGAGATGTTCTGATCAGCATGAGCTCGCTGGCTGTGAGATTGACTTGGAGTCTTTGATTGCACTTGAAATCCCAACCAATGTCACCGAAATCACTGCAGGAGCTTTCCAAATGTGCAGGATGTTGGCAAAATTGACCATTCCCGACTCTGTGACCCACGTTGGGGATTACGCCTTTGCAGCATGCAGCTCTTTGGTGAGTATGAGCATCCCCCAGTCAGTCACCCACATTGGGCGTTCTGCCTTCGAGTGCTGTAGCTCTTTGGCAAGTGTAACAATCCCCAACTCATTGACCCACATTGGCGACAATGCCTTTGGATACTGCAGCTCTTTGGCAAGTCTGGCCATCCCCGACTCGGTGACCGACATTGGGCATTCTGCCTTCCAGCACTGTTTCTCTTTGGCGAGTATGAGCATTCCTAACTCGGTGCTGCGCATAAAAAATTGTACCTTTTATGGCTGCAGCTCTTTGGCAAGTGTAACAATCACGGACTCAGTGACCCACATCGGTCAATCTGCATTTGCTTACTGCAACTGTTTGGCAAGTGTAACAATCCCCGATTCAGTAACACACATTAGTGATTATGCATTTGCGAGTTGCAGGTCTTTGGCACGTGTGACTATTCCCAACTCTGTGACCCACTTTGGAAGGAGGCCCTTCAAAGACTGCAGTGCTTTGTCAAGTGTGACCATCCCCGACTCAGCCCTCCACATCAGGGCTTGCGCGATCAATTTCTGCTGCTATTGGATGTTAAGAGCCATCGTTTATTTGGACATTTTTCAAATCATCAAGAAGCCCAGCTCTTTAGCTGTTCTGACTGGGAGATACACTGGCAGTGAGGAAGCCTTCAGACGCCATTTGGGCATCCCAGAGTCCGCGATGCTGATCGACCGCGGTGTTTTCGACCGGCAGAAATGGGGTTGCTGCCGGAGGCAGAGGGAGAATTACAAAACAAGATAAATTGACATGCTTCTTAGCTTCTTGCTGCTAGTAGCAATGCACTTCTTAGTTACTAGTAGCGATGCCCTTAGCTACTAGTAGCTTCTTGCTACTAGTGGCGATGCACCTGTTACATTGGCTCATCAATCAACACTTGGGCATGTCTTTCACTGGCTCGCGGCGCGTCGCTGGCTCAACAGTATCAAGCCTTGCCGTGACAAGCACAAGTTTCTCCTTGTGGCCGTGTTTTGAATGTTTGGTCCATATCTGCACCAAGTCAAGTCTGGGCCTCACCGTTTGAATATCAGCACGCACATCTGATGAAAAAGGAACGCCGCCAAGAAGGGTGGGAGTTGCAGGTACAGGTGGCGGAAGCTTGAAGCTCGCCCCGTGTTTCAGTAGGGAGCAGGGTGAAACATAGGTAGCTGGCTTTCGGTTTGTCCAGCTGGAACCATCGTTGAAAGAACAAATTTATGCTTTGTACGAATTAGTACGGATTCGTTGCTCTAAGCTTTCTGTTTTGGGGCCGTTGGATAGCATGGAACTCCAAAATTTCCCAAAGTAGCAGTAAGTATAGACTTGTAATTACTGTACTCGTTTTGTTCGGAACTTGCTGTAGCTGGCGTACTATAGGGAAGTGGCAAAGCACTCTAAGTATATAGGTCCTCAAATATAGAGACGGTTTGGAATACATTTGTAGAGGGGATATCAATTTCAGGGTCTATAACCATCGATAGAGATTCCCAGTGGGTGGGTCAGTCGTTGAAGCATTTGCTTCCTCCGGTTGTTGGACTTCCCGTGCTGTTCCACTGCAGTCCAGATTGCTGAGGCATGGTGTGCCTGACATTGTGGGCAACCATTAAGGAAGGAGCACATATCCAGCGCCTCATTCATCCGGCTACTTCGCCTCGCAGTACTGGCACTGAAGGAATGTTTGCAGATAAACATATTGAGTTCTGCTTTCTCTTTTGTGAGCTAGCCTCGGAAACTGCCAGCTGAAGCAGCTTGGGGTGGGAAGCTGAATTTCATCAGATGATTTCACTGGGAAGTTACAGGCTTTCCACTGTGGTAGTTGTTTTTGTCATACGACTTCAGAAGGTTGACCCAACTGGCAACTGGCTTGTGAAGTGAAGCTGATCATCACCACTTGCTTTTGTGTTCGAAGGTCTTCGTTTCTCCAATCATTCTGCTCCCGCCATCATGCACCCAACCGTCCATCACGGACGATGCCAGCGCCGTGGCGCCAAATGGGGTCGATGCCGAGGTAGATTATGCTGGGCGAATGTGTGGCATCAGCCCGGGCGTGCAGGACGAAGCTGCCCAAATGTTTTGGGTTACCCCGTGGAAGACGAACATGGGCGCTCAAAACAACTCCTTGCTAGAGGAAACCAGTCTTTCAGGGTCCCATTCTCAGGGTCCATGTTAGTCTTCGGAAATGTATCTGACAGCAGACCGAGACCGGAAGCAAGCCTGTTTGACAGGAAGCGAGCGCCGTTCAACCTCCAAGAGGAACCTGTTCGATGAGCATTCTGGTCGTTTTGGGTTTAACATATCATAGTGGATCTTAGTGGATCAGTGCATGTTTAAGGTTGACGGTTTCAGCCGGAGGGGAGCTGATCATTGGCGAGACAACAGAGCCATTGTTTCAGCACGTCACTCATAAACCCAGAATCTGACGGACAAATAATGACTTTCATGGTGTACATGCTGTTTTGTCCATCTGGGGGTATTTATATACATATATTATATTTAGAGAGCGGGGGACTGTGAGAGTGCAGTTTTTTTAATTGTTTTTTAAAAGGTGTTTGGTATCATTTGATGCTCAAGATATGCAAAGATGCTTGGTTTCACTCCAGGGCAGAAGATACCACTCTACTCTAACATGGGGCCTGGGTGTTGGTTTTCCCAAAATTTTAGGTAAATGCTTCAGTGGTAGCCCCTCTCCATATAAACACACATATATATAATCTATTCCTGCTCTCTCTCTCTCTATATGAACAAATACTGCGAGTATGTTATGTATTCCTGAATCAGGGTCATGTTATTGTTTTGGAAGCAGCAAGCAGTCATTCAAATAGTTTTGAACAAAATAATTCGGAAAGAAGCAGCCCATAAAAGTGTCTCTAGATCTCTGCTTATAATTATGTTTAGATTTGGAAATAATAAGAACACAGATTGACCTAAATAGGAAAACCAAAAAAACAAAAAACCTTGAGAAAACCAATAACAACCTAGGAAAAGCCAAACCAAAAAAAGAAACAACCAACAAAACACTTCTGGGGAAGTCTTGAGGAAAGGGGGGGTCCAGCCAAGAGTCTCTGAGAATTGTTTTGTTTGTTTGTTGTGTTCTTTTGTTTTTTTTCTTTTGGTTTTCCCAAGGTTTTTTGGCTTTTCCTAGATTGTTATTGGTTTTCTCTATATTTTCTCGAGACTGTTTGTGTTTGTTTTCCAGTGCAAAGGACATTGAGGCAGCTTTCACAGACACATAACATGAATGCAGGCCCCAGTGGGAAGTTTATAGCACATAGATGGAAGTAGGCAGCAAAAACATATAAAATACGCACTCTGGTGGTCCCCTGTTCTGTATATTTACTGGGTGCAAATGACATGGGATTTAGAACACGTTCCTGGGAAATCACATTCCCAATTTATATCCCTTCTCCGCTTTGTGTCCGGAGTGCATAAATCCTAAGTGCCTGATCACCAGATTGCTCATGCAGCCCAATCTGAGAATGCTGTTGAACCGAGTGACTTAAGCGTGCATGTGTGCCATAAGTCCTATCTGATCCATTTGACTTCACCTACTCATTCCTTATGACACTTTCAGCCTTATTTCCCGTGCGGTCTCAACCCAGTATAAGATGTAGATGCATGTAAATGCACATATGTATATATAATAAATATATATTATATATACATGTTTTTTTTAAATAGACTCTAGGACCACAACAACGACGCTGTACAACTCGGCTCGCGCTCCACAACGCGGCTGCGCGGAGTGCGACCGGATGGGCAGGACAAGCCCTTCATCTACGTGTGTGGCAAGGCCTCCGCCGGCTTCGAGGCAGCGATCGCGACGGTTTCGGTTTTCAACGACCATGGCTCGGTCAGTTCGCATGCAGATCATATCTTTGATACCCAAGAGTCTGGTTTTGTGAGAGCTAGGTTTGGTGTCACTTTGGACGCTTTAGGATTTTCCCAAACAGTCTGGCGGCCGATGATGGAAACCATGGCCCCAGCATGGCCATCATTCCATGCAGCGACTGAGGGTCCTTTGGATGAAGCGACTTTGTCCAAAAGTGTTGGACGATAAGACCCCAGTCGTTTCATGTCGTTTCACCTCGACGGACGCGCGTGGAACGCGAACGAACCGCCTCGAACAGCCCGACTCGAACAGACAGCTCACCCGACTCAAAACACTCTCTCAACCCCCACGGGATCCCCACTCACTCGATTTCCAGCCCCCCGGCGTGGTTCGTGTTGGTCTCGAGACCCGTTGTGCCCACAGGGAGACTATCCCAGCCAGCTAGATCTTCATTCCAAGACCTGCGTGGCCGCGTGCCCCTCCTTGGGCGGAGACGTGGTGCCTCGTCCGACGATCGTTGGGGGGCAGGTTTGGACACATCGCATAGTGAGTACTGCTGAAGTGGAGGATGTTCAGAGCATGTAGAGGAGAGAGATCTCCCCAAAAAGGCAGGAACAGACCGAAACTGGAACAATTTTGCAAAGGATTCTTCATGTTTGGGTCAGGGTCACAGGGTATACTCTTGCGGTCATCTTGCCATCATCGCTACTTCTAAGCTGTCTATAGCTTGATCAAATTGCAGTGGTTTCAGAGTACATCGCACAAACCCCGAGAATGCCTTTTAGATGATTGGCGGGCCATATGAACCTTCTTTGGGGGCCTTTTCTCAATCCGCCATGCGGGGTGTGGACTCCACCGGAATCTGCGCAATCGGTCGGTCCATTCACTGTGCACATCAGCCATCCCCTGGCACCTTTGGAGTTGTGATTGAACGTCCAACTAGTGGATACCATTTCTCTGGATTGACCACAGAGAAAGAACGTTGAACATGCAACACGCGGTGGTGGTTTACCCTCAGTCAAAGATACAGCCGAACTCAGGCGGCAAGCGACAACATTGGAATTCACTGGAAACACATTTGTTGGAGTCACTGCAACATTGGAGTTATATTAATATTCTTATCACATTGGTTGGATTCAGTAGGTTGGAGGCCATCGCTCTTAGGTTGGATTCACAGGATTTTTTTTCACATTTGTCGGATGCACTGCAAACACGAGTTGCCAGCTCGTCGATGTACACGGGCAAGGCATGCATCGGGCGGCCGTTGGTGACGCCGAAAGCCTTGGATTGCCAAGATAATGGCTGCGTGGTTTCTAGGCGAAAGCTGGAAACACCTGTTTTTGTGTAGACAGACGCGCTTCAGTGTTTTTGTTGGCAAAAAGACTGAAACCATCCATCTGGACACCGATCCAACACTGCGGGTTTTCTCAGTGGCGGGTGGGACGAGACTGATGGCCACGCCACGCCCCATGTGTCACGCCTCAAGTAACTCCGTCCGGCGTGAACATGTTGCCCGCATGTCTAAGAGGCGGACGGCAACGAATGGATACATAGTCTCCCACTGTCGGGGTGGTGAATGGACACCCCGAATCACGGCTTTACGGGGCTATAAATATTAGACACCCCTTGGAGGGTCCTGCTATACAATCATATACCTGGACCCTGAAACGATGTGTTTTTTTCCGTCTCGCCAGAAAACATGACGCAAAAACATGCAGCAAATTCGCGATAGAAAACATGACGCCAAAATGACGCAGAAGTGACAAAAAACAACGCAGAAGTGACAAAAATCGACACCAAAACTGTTTGTTGTGTGGGTTTTTTGAGCTTCGCCTGAAAATTGCCCTCACCAGAAAAAAATACGTCTTTTGCGGGGTCTAGGTATATATGTATAGAATCTTTCTCGGAAGGAGGGTTGGAGGGGTTGGCAGGCCCAGCCCTGAAAGAATAGGCCCCTTGGGTATTCTGTTTGGTCACGACTTGGCACTGCCATGCCGGAGTTCAAAAGCACTCAAAGGAAGTGTGGCAATGAGACAGGGTCACGGCATACCTGCCAAGATGCTGCGCAGTCACCATGACACTACGGTTGGTGGACAAAATCCTGCACCAGTGGAAGAACAAACCCATGTACACCCTCGCGCTCCCTCTTTAACATTGAGTTGAGGAAACATGTGAAACACAAGAAAGTTGAATGACCAAAATCCTGCATCACACATAAAACATGAGACAACATTGAATTGGGGGGTACGGGGGTCTGCACTATTCGAGAACCACATGCGTTGCTGTATTGATGCAGGATTTTGTCCATCAACAGTATCACTGAAGGTTTACAGATAAGTTAAGGCCAGGCCAACCTGATAGGGAAGCCACCTGGGAAAGTATGACCATGGTTTGCATGACCTGAGCAACGAACAGAGGCAAATTTGATCGAATTTGCATTGTTTTTGGGCGGAAGGTTTTTGGAATTGAATGTGAAGATGGACACTGAAATAGACACTGACACATACTGAAACTTCTTCCATCACTCGACGTTTGTAAAAGAAGGGCTTGCACAGGTGCGTTCATCGAAGCTTGCCTTGAAATCAGGGTTGAAGGGATTTTGTATCCTTGCCAAGAAAGATAATCCTCATCCGAAACGATTCACCCTCATCAACCATTCCAGCAACCATCTTCTTCGAAGCTACCAAAAACAACATGGAAAAAGAAGCACCTGTGCCGGATGGAGCTGCCTTCCACTGAGGTGAATGGCATTCAGGTGCGGAAGACCGTGACCTGGCAAATTTCACAGGCTGGACGTCAAGTCGTGTGGACGACACCGTGTGGACGACGCGACGCGACGCAGCTGAAAGGTTTGGATGGACGGTGGTCTCCTTATGCACCAATGAATGTGTGACGGCAGGGTGATTTGTGTTATATATATTATATAATATTACTGTATATGTACAGATTTCTACAGTATATTAAAGTATACAGCACGTAAATGTATATTGTAACAAGGTGGCTTACGTACTGGGATGCCAGGATCATCCGTGTTTTTTCAGATGTGCCGCGGTGTATTTGCCAACCTGGGTCGAGGCATGTGCCGGCTGGGTGAGTTTGCCTTTATCATGAGCAGGGGGAAGCCCTGAAGTACCACTGTAATTATCCACATCGATGTAGACTGCAGACTCTTGATTCATAAAACCTCCGCATCTGGGATTGTAAAGACGTGAGACCCTGCCAGGCTTCCGCCCAACGCCAAGCAACCCAACTACAGACAAACCTTCCAATTCGGGTGCCACAAATCAAAGAAACCGTTTCATCTGGAGTTTGGTTCATGAAGAGAGCCATCTATTAGGTCTGCTATGGTCTGCTCCTCGTGCGCACCGGATCTTCCGGTCTCATTCACCAAGCTCACCGCTTGGCGCACGGGAATCGTGATGTCGTCCGCCTCGCCCGGTGGAGGCAGTGACCTACCAGAAGGCGTATCCCACCGACGAATTCCGCGGGATGATCTGTGCACCCAAGCCACTTGGCGAGTTCCGGCGACTCTTCCCACCCAGTCCGCGGCCGCCGGAAGCGGCCTCCGGGTGTGGACGAGCACGGCGGACTGGACGGTTTTTCTCCGCTCGGCGGCGGACTGTTCAGGCTGTGTGTGTGTTTTTAGTTTTGTGGCGGTTGGGCTAAACATGAGGGTGGTGCACCTATAGTGGTGAAGTATCGTGAAGTGATCCAAATTGCTTTGTCCTAGACATTTGGCAAGACACCTGACTGAGGAGCTGCAAAAATATTAGGTCGATTAGTTCCCTTTTCTCTCTTTACTTGGAAAAGCAAAGGACTGTTGGTTTCTCATTAACGCCAGATGTTCATGGGGTGCGTTGTTCAGGGAGGCGTTGTCCAAGTGTTTGATCCACGTCGATCATGTTGAACTTCTCCTTCGATGCGCGGGCAGCTTCGGCCGATAGACCCCCAGGTTTTTTCTCCGCGCCGTGAAGTCATGAGGTCTTCAACACATCTTCAATCACACTCCGTGGAAAAGAACCACGAGTAGAACAGTGGGACATACCAAATCAGATGCATATCGATATATGACTTTTGAAACGAACACACTTTCTCAACACACCTGCAGAGTCTTTGCCCGCCCGCCCTCAGGTTGCTCAGGTTGTCCAAGGCGGTCACCACCCAAACAGCACATCTGTTTAAATAGATTTTTGGACCAGCAGACCATTGTGCACATCAGAATCATCAGATCATGCTATATTACCGATGCTGTGGTCCGCCGCAGCACATCACCGGATGGTCTTCCCCCCTTTCTAAGCCCCGTGCTTTCGCCCACCCGGCCGCGTGCTTTCGCACCGAACCATCGCTCAGGTGGGAGGCGCCGAACGACCTGCGAAGTCAGGTGCTCTTCGGGGACGCTTCGCCACTCAGTAGCGCTGGGGAGGCGGGCGCCCCCATTCGGGATCACGCTGGCGGCGCGAGCGATCTGCGAGGCGACGCGCGAGCTGGTGGTGGAAGGGGGATGTGACGCAGGTTTTAGGAACAGAGCGGGTTCTTGTGTGTTCTTTTTGTGGAGTGGGAACACTTGTAGACATGATATATGGCAGTTCTGGGCATCATGCAACCATTCAAATTGGATTTGGGTGTCGTTTGATTCCTCCCCCAGAGGGAGCATCAGCAGGCTTTTGCTTGGTGCTCGTTGTTTGCATGATACAGCGTAACTGCCAGATCTGGCAACTTGACTCTGCCCTGGATTTTCTCTGTTCAATGACACCCAAACCGCCTTTTTGAGGACAGGGGTGCCAGCCGCAGGCGTTTGGTAGCTTGGAAACCGCTTGGCCAGTGCTTCTGGCGGTCTTTGGGATTGCTCCTTGGCTGAGTTGGACGAAGTCGCACAAAACACATGGAGACGTGTCACACGGCCTGAAAAGGGGTGTTGGAGAGAGTATCAGTGATTCCTGCCTGACCCGCTTAACAAGTCCATTTCGGCCGTGTCCGCGTTCGTCCGCTTTCACGGAAGCTCCATCTACCATATTCCGACGCCCAAGACTGCCCTGCCCCCCACCATGCTCATGTCTTGGGACCGGTAGGGACGGTATTCTTGATGTCATTCTGTTGTCATTCGGTTGGACTTGTTTCACATGGAGAATTGGGTCGAATTCCTTGTTTCAACGTGTGAGGACCGTAAAGAATCGGACAATTTGAAACCCCCCGTATACCCACTGCCAAGTGGTTTATCACCGGGATCCAAGGTCTAGTTCCTAAGTGGGCTTCCCATTTGGCAGAGGGTTACCTCTGAGAAGTCTCAGGCAGATGACATCCACCAATCTAATCACTCGTTGAGTTTCTCAAGCACCGAATTTGTGGTATCCAAGAGCCATGTTTCAGTTAACTTGTCCAAGAGCATTTCCACCCTCTCCACGGACCTTTCCACATGCGAACAGATCGTGTGCTTCGCGAATGGACCAAGGCCACCCTTCTCTCCATCTTGGTCTTGCTGTGTATGACCTGCTGCTTGGCGAAGCCCTTGCGCTGCTAAATCGTTGGGGTGTTACCTGTTTAGTATGAGTTAGTGTATTGAACGTTGCGATCCTAAGTGAGGCCACAAAGGTCCACCTGTTTCATTGGGAGACTGTGCCAACGTTTGGAGACTGTGCCAAACCCTTGAGGCTATGCCGGTCCGGTGCTCTTCATGGCCATCCTTTTAGCTGACATCATGGTCTTTATTCTCGGCATTTTCTTTGCCATCGGTCTCTTCTTCGACCCCTACAACACGGCCGGCTGGGGTTTGGACCAGGGACCATGACATTTTGGAGGGTGGTGCAGGAAGTGCGCGTGTATGTTGGTAGGCAGTATGAAGACTTTGGAGTCAAACACAATGACATCACTTTACCAATTGATGTAGATCGATGATTCGATTGAGCACCATTTTAACAACGACTGTTTTAGCACAGTTGCGAATCAAGCCTTTTCCCTTTCTTGCTGGCAGCCTGGACCTTATCAATTAAATGGGATCCTGAATCCTGACTCCGCCAGAAACACACTTGATGAACTGGACATCGAAATCTCGGCCGGTACTGTCCCACTTGTGACAAACCTATTGAGTCCTATGTGTCCTGATCAGTTCAAGTATACTGTACCAGGGGCCCCACAAACCATCAAAAACCTTGTTTTCCCAGCAAAAAACATGGTGTTTGTATGTGAAAACCTTTGTTTTTCATGGTTTTGAGGGCCCCTGGTATACAATATTTATGTCTTGACCTTTGCTTCCAGCGGATGCTTGGTCTGTTTCCAACATTTCCACCCAGCGCATCACACAGATTGGTGTGTTTTTTGTTTACAACACTGCACCGCGTGCCGTATTGTTTTGGAAATCTCCGGCGTGGTCAGGCTGGATGGTATCAGTCTTGGAACCCCATCGACAGGAGAATCGCACGGACGCGGACGCGGCGAGGACGCGGATCGGACGTGGCTAATGCAGGTGTGAACAGGCAGAGAGTTTTCTGGGTGGATGACACTCAGATCCAGAGGATGTGAGCGGACCTGAGTCCAAGTTTGGAGGAGTGTCCCGTGGCCGCGATTGCCATCAACATGATGTCAAGTGATGAAGACAGTTTGTGGCCAGGACAGTCTACGGTGAGTGGGCACGGGTTTTGACCTTCTTCACCGGCTTGTTTTTCTTGGTGGTCGGCGTCCTGCTCACGCTCCTTGTTCAATTGAGAGAAATACTGCGTCGTGGTAGTTGGAATGTCTTGCATGCTTGTGCAGAAGTGTGGCTGGGCCACCAACAGAATCAGCAACAACAACACTATAAGAACCCAGACACTCCATATATATAATGCCATAAGTGACCCCCCAAACCACAGTAAATATAGCATACATGCATGGAGTGTTTGGGATGTTTGGGTAACGCCATGAACACCAGCATCAGCAGCACCCCCACAACCACCACCGCAACAACCTTCCAAACAGGGCGTGAAATGACAAACAAGAGTCGTATGGCACTCATATTATAACCTGCATTCAGGTTAGTGAATGTGGTGTGTTGGCACAGAGTAGCTCCAACAAGAGATCCCAAGAATGAATGTCGTTTCCTGATTGCCCCTAGTTAGCACTTCCTGACATTTCTGGTCACTCAAGCACTTCACTATCTTCACTCATCATGCTGTTCCCATTGCCCGAGGCACACCTTGCTGCATGCATCTGAAAGGCGAAACCGCAGATGACGGACCGAGGGAGACGGGGGACAGACGCCGGGCCCCGAGAGTCATCTAGAAGATGTATTGGAACCCATCGAGGCCCCACAAAATGGGTTTTCACATTCATACCTATGAGTGTTGGAAGAAACAACATGTCTTGTGGGTCTTGGTATGGTCATGATCCAAGGACCGATATGGATCTGCCTCCCAAATCATCAGAGCGTCAACCTGTTGGGCCAGTGGTCGATTGACGCTCCAAACAGCCCGACTGGTCCCTCAAAACCTCAATTTGAGACCCCAGACTCCTCCAGAGGATTCGGGTCCAGGGAGTCCAGGGTTGCGTTTGGGATAGAAAACAACACACATGACCAAATTCCAAACATTCGAGACGACTGCCTCCCACCGTGGTCCTCCGTTCGATGACCGGACCTCCCGTCTCCGGACCGGACCCACCGAATCCGTGGACCGCGGAACCGTCAGGCTGGACGAGCCCATTGGGATGATCCATGCCTCGATGGAGTTCATTTTCGATCCAGGACCCAGCAGCTCAGCTGAGGTGACTGAGTGAACAGGCCATAATGTCATGGCCATGCGGCAGAAGTGGTTGGTTTTCTTTTTTTGGGGGGCAGGGGGGGAGTTTGGGGGTGATGTTCAGTTTGGTTTCACCGTTTCTTTTTTTCTGGTGGTGTTTTTCTCTCAGACATGGTCAGACGCTTTGGAGGGAGAGATATGGGGAGGTTACTGCGACCTTTGTGAGTCAGGTGTGCAGTTAGAAATGGGCAACATCGAATTTAGTGTTTGGATGTGGAGCATGACGAGTTCACTTCAACATATTTTTTGGGGATGGTAGATAGGGAGCTTGTTTGGATTGAATCAAGCTTTTTCCGTGAAGGCCTTTCTTTACTTCAATTTGAGATTTTGCCCCAGTGAAGCCACACATTTAGACTCTAGACGTTGGAGCCACCAAATCTAAGGCCATAGCTCGATTCCGTTTCTGATCCTGGCCCAGCCCTTAGTGACTAAAAGCTTTTGAATCTGCTCGGCAGTTGAACAACAAGCATGTTGCAAGTCTTATAAATGTCAGCACGCCGGCTGTTTCACTGTGCAGTCTGTACAATGATGTGCAATGTATTTTGGAGTTACCGTTACAGTTTTCCAAAGTAGCTCGTCATGTTCATTGAACTGAAACACAAACTCAAATCCGTCACTTGGCGTGGCATTCCAGTGAGGTGCCATTCGGGAACTCGCTTTTGACACTGGCTTTATTGGCCGCCAGTATCTACTGCTTGATGTTGGTCCTCACTGCTGGCCCAGTAGATGGCAAAGGCCACGAAAATGGTTTGAAAACCTGGGGACGTTGGGGAGGGGGTTGTGAGAAGGACATGGATGTTTGTGACTTTGACATGAGATTTCTGCATTGTCAAAGTCTCCATCATTGAATACCCGCAGACAGACAACTTTTGCTGACTTCTCCTAGACAAGGGAATTGATAGTCTTCACGCTTCCTTCTTGCCACCAATCAAACGAATCCAACATGAACCTGAAGCGCTTTGGAACACCTACCCCTCAACTCAACCAGAGGGGTGTTTTTGTTGACACCCGACAGAATTGGGGTACTGTAGCTAGATTTTGGATAGACAAGCCACCCTATCGTGACCTGAGTGCAATGACAAACACAAGACAGCAAACCATGACACTGACAACACACACTGACAACACCAATTATAAGCACAGACAACACGACAACAGACAAGAAACAATGACACATACAACATACAATGACTATGACACCACCAACATTACTGCACATCCCCCAGTGGCCCGACCGCTGTCACGCCAGACCAAGGGTTAGTGGCCCGAGGGAACCCCCACGTCATGCACGTAGGGACAAACCTGTTCGGGTGTATAGCTTGAAGATGTTTGAAGTAAAGCAATCCCTAGCGATCCACTGCCACCTTCTCAGAAGGTACGACTGGGCCTGACCCAGGCGCCTACTTTAAATAGTCTCCCATCACCGTACCTGAGAAGGTACGACTGAATCCCTAGGGCATGTTCTTTTTTTCCCCGTGGTGGTTTCTCCACCTCTGCCGACCCATCCGCAAGCCCCGTAGACCTACGGCACGGCGGTCGTGTTGCTTGGGACGCCGTAGACCTACGGCCTTCGGGGCTCAAGAGGACTCCCACGGATCGAGAGCACTGAATGGTGTGAGGCATAGTGATCGATGGCGAGCACTACACAAGCCTCTACAAGCACCTTGGACCAGCAATAGTACCAGTGATGTCATTTTTCGTAGGGTGGAGGCCATCGCTAGTAGGTTTGGAGGCAAGGAGTCCTCCTTTAGAAAACCAGTAACATGTCCAGGAGTTGCTCAATGAGGGAGGAGGGTTTGTTCAGATGAGGCACGTATCAGGTCAGTGGGTGAGTGAAGAGTTTCTTTGGCAGCTATAGATTATCAACTGTTTCTTTTTGGAAAACTGGGCAGGCCTGCTTTGCAATGAATATAAAATGCCGATGCCAAGGAAAACAAACCAAATCGAATGGAGCAAAGATAACAAGTCAAGACAGATATACAACTTATATAAGCGAAAATGGTCAAGACAATGGTTAACACAAACGACCAAAACAAACAAAAGACAATCAGTTCTATGTGAAAGCAATCCGTAACCCACACTGAACCGTTCCCACAAGTCAGGATAGGAACTCACAGGCACGGATGGATCGCGGTAGGAACCCACATTGCCAGGCTAGCTTCATTTGCAGGTTCAGTGACCAACAGATACAGTATGTACAGTGATTTTGTCAACCATGCTGAATTTGACTTGATACAGGTAGAATTTGATATGAACAGTGTTGCAGGTTCAACATTGATAGGATTTTGTTGCTTAATGTATGTATGCTTCTTTGGAAACTAAGCACTATACAGATAAAATGATAAAGACTCTTTGGCGCCATAGGGCTTCTCCTTTGACCCAGGGAGATTCCGTTTCGGTCTGAGGTTACTTGGAATCTTGGAACATCTCTGAATGCCACACTGGTCGCTTATAGGAGTTCCAATACATATTCATTGACTAAAGTGGCGGAACGTTTCCGTGCCGGGGCTGCGACGAACATCTCGTGTCCGGTCGTGATCATGTGCTCTCACTGAGGGGTGTGCAGAAACCATGGAATGGCTTGGGATGGGACATTGCGATGGTCGTCTTTGTGGCTGGCATCATTTGGATCTTAGAGCTCATGCTCCTTGGAGACCCACATAGGTTGGGCAGTGTGCATTGCAAGCAAAGACCTAAAAGCACATGGGTGAAGACTTGTTGGGTGGTTTTGGAGTGCTTGAGCCTGATTTCTGGCATGAGCATATATGAGCATCATTTCCATGTGGGTCCAAGCAGTTTAAAGGCACCCCGGACTCAATCAGTCATCCAGGTTTGCCTGAGGACTTGGTGAGGGAAGGGATCGGAAATCGAGTTTCCGCACCGAGCACCGACCCAAAAGCATGAAGCTTTTGGGACACGCGAAGTTGAAGGCATCAGCAAAGCGTCACAAAGCCACCATCCTCACAAGCAAAGCCACATCAAACACGTCAAAACCACGAGCCAAGTCAAATTGGTGTTTCACTTTTGAAGCGTTTTAGCGGCGTTGCGCACCTTTTTCGACGTCTCTTTTTTTGAGCCAGGGTATAGTTGTTTCAAAGCGACATGCGCCCAAGAAAATCGATCGCCATCGAGACAGACAGAGAGAGAGAGAGAGAGAGATGGAGAGAGGAATTGTTCTGGAACGTCAGGTGTGGATTAAATTATGTCACCAAAATTGACAGATTCACCCAGTGGCCTATTGGGGGACATTCCAGTGCCAGGAAGCCAGGAATTCAGTATCGTCTATATAAGTGCATGTGCAAATGATATAACATGAGATAACCCTCAGATATCCATGTTCCAATTCTGTGCATTTCCGGGCTACTTTTTGGAGACGAGTTTTGTTTATAGTTGAACACCTCTCCTGAATGGTTGAAGACTCACCCCGTCCGCCTCAGGATTGGTGTTGGACAGTATGTCATCAGCCACTGTGTTTGTGAGCCTTGAGCGTGTCATCAGACCGTTTTTCTTTCCATGTTCTTTCCAATTTGCTGTCCAGCAAGCAAACAGACCCGTTCAAGCCATGGTTTGTCGACTTCTTTCCGATCACTGTGGATGGCCCAGACAGTCCAAGCATGGACAACATCGGCGCTTGAGCCACATCGGCCCTGTGTGCCCAGCATGTGCCAGCATGGTCGACCCATTTGTGCCGACATGGGACATTCAAGAAATGGAAGGTTCGGAGCGATTTTCACGATGTCATGGAGTCCTAGTAGTCCGCTCCTTTGAGACATCGAGACATTGCGGTGAAGGCCCCTACCCTCGATCTAACACTTTGAGCAAAATCGCTCCCAGAAAAGGTGTGTTTTTGTTGCTTGTCATAGGATCCTAACCTAGTGGAACTCGTGGGGGTGGTTTGCTGTGACAACTCACCCCAAACTTGTCAGATGGTTGACTTGGACATATCTTGACCTAGCAAACTCAAGGATTGAATCTCCTTTTCCAGACTTGAGTCTCCTTTCCATCCCAAGTTCGCCAAAAAGACAAAAACGCATCTCTAGCCTAGGACTGTTGGATCGTTTTGATCCTTTTTGAAACTTGGTTTCCTTCTCATCGGAGCGGGTCATCCAAGGAGTGGTTCTTTCAGCCGATCGATGAGATTGCGCCACTCGTTGATGGCAGCATAGTCGGTCAGAAGTCTTGCGATCGGAAACATGCAACCTGTTATTTGTCTTGGCTTTGGAAACATTGTCCACATAAAGTGGAAGAACACTCTTTTATAAGGGTCACATAGGGCCACTAGGTGGCAAAAGTGCAATCTTATATGAGACCTCCAGACATAGTAAATGGGTCACATGATGTCACATGCTCATCCACGCTCATTTGAAGCACTTGTCACTGGACATGTTCTCGGACCTCGTGATGGCGAACATCGAGCAGCGAGCCACCTCAGCGCCTCACCGGCAGCGTCTCAGCGCATCGGCTGGGGTCCGAAGAATTCCAGCATGTTCCACCTAAGGCCTTTGGAGATGAAGAAGCAGAAAGAGGAACTCGCAAGCACCAACCCCGAGGTGCCGGCCGTGTTTCTGTTTTTGGACCCAGAGGCCTTTGGGACCGTGGGACCCTGGACAACTGGTCTGACACGGGGTCCGCCCAGTTCGCCGTTCGGGAAACTGGGTTGTACTCAGTTCGCTTGACCCTGGGCAACTAGATTTGTTGCTTGACGGAGTTATTTCTACCTGCTCCGGGGGAAGGGGAGAGAATCCTAGGGCTATATATAATATATCTACCAGCATCCTCACTGCCAGGTCACCAATTGAGACCTGTTGGGGCCCAAGAACCCTCCATTTCGGAGACCTGTTGGACACGGATGCTGGTACCTGACAAAGAACCTGATCTCTTATACATGACCCGTCCCAACGAGTTCACCATGGAGACCGCCCTGAGACTGGCGTTGTGAGCTTTGGCGTTGAGGGTTCAGACGACTCAGGTGTGGCGTATCCGGGTTGATGAGTTTTGCCCTTGTAAATGATACATCTCGTGGAGTGATGGCCCGAAAGGTTCCCGTTGTCCAATTCGGTGCAGAAAAGAACCTGGGATTCCAGCGTCGCCCCAAAAGCAAACCATGGACTTCGTCCACCAGCAAAATCAAGCAACACACCATAGCACACCCATGTTTGAAGAGACATCCTCTACACCAATGTGCGCCCCGAATCGGGAAGCACTGCCGGCCAGCACCCCTGACAGCTCGTGCGTGCGTGCCGGAGTCACGTTTTGATGCAGATCAAAACGATGAGGACGTTGGGTCCAACAAAAACGATTTAAGGCTTCACACACCTGGATAAGGCTTAATGGGTGTCCGGGTGTCCTGGCTGGAGATCCCGGAGAGCAATAGTCCAGCCAGAACGCCAGAACGCCGGATGATCCTGGTGTGAAGCCTCAGAATTCTAGAGGAATATGGTGAGGAACGGAATAACAAGAAAACGGTGAGGCTATGTGAGGAACCCGACGAAGGGGTCCCAACCCCTGATAGCTGAGAATTCAAGAGGAGTATCAGGGGTTGATACTTGGATTGAAGGCAAGAAGGGGCAACACACTTCTAGCTGAGGATGTTGATCAGATATTGCCTGGCAAAGGCCAATAATGGACAACACCCGAAAATATCCGAAAATCAGTTGAGCCAGATGAAGCGTCGGAGAATGAGTTGCTTCGACACCGCTGTTCCGACATCCCTGTTCGACATGGCAGAGAAGCTTCGGATCATGTCCCACAAGCACCAGAGGTCAGAACAAGGGAGTATGCCAGACTACTCTGAGGTCATGGGTGGAAAACATGAACACCTTGGAAAAGGTCTGCCAATTCATTGCAGAATCCATCAAAATGACATCATCTGTGGACATTGTGTACTCAAGGTGGCTTCTGAAGGAAGTGAAGCCAGCAACATTTACAGAGTCGCTCTCTTGAGCTTTCCACTGTGGTGCGCGCGTTGCATAGCGTGCCATGTCACCGACGGGGCTCCTGACCCGGACTGCGCCGGTATCATCCGCGGAGCAGAAGGATGCGGGCTATTCGTTCGGACTTGGGCGGTGGATGCACGTCTGACATGGGAAGTGGAGATATGTTGTAAGGGGTGAAGGATGAATCTGACCAGTGAATACCAGCCATGTTCAAGAGATCCTCCAAGAACATTCAAGAACGCAACATCGCAACATGTTGTTGACATTCGTTCACCTCTTCCTTGGGCAGGATCACCTTGCGCCCTCAGTTGGCACGCTCGTCAGGACCGGGCGACGTGGCCGGGCGATGGCGAAAAGCACCGCGGGACGTTCACCTCGCGCCGGCGGCAGATGCTCCGCGGTGGGAGAACAGGTCCGGGTCGTCTTCTCAGTAGTGTAGACGGGTCTATTTCAGCGGCGACACTATCAAGAGGGTTGTTGAATTCAAACAACCGAGGGCGTTTGTAACCGGGTTGTTATTTGGCGACCATTTGGGTTACAAACCGTAGTGGTTCAAACTAGCCCGGGCGTTTGATGAATCTAAGAGATCTGAAGTAGACAAATGTCAAAGTCCATGGCACTCATAGCTGGGATGCGGAGAATGGAGACAGAAGGCACGAGGCGTATGCCATGTTCTGAAGTGAAGTCTGTTCAGTCAATACTTATTAATCTGAAATGCCCCTTGACACCTACAAACTTCAGACGTTCAGTATGCGCGATGAACCTGCCCCCGGTGTGGCCGTGCGATTGATCCCATCCGCGTCCACTCGGAGCGCCGATCGAGGTTCATCGCATCGCTGGCCCTGGCACAAGTGGCGGTGTCACTTGGTCCCGGTGGAAGCACCGAAGCACCATTCGCGAAAAGACCTGCTTTTGTGGTACATTAAATCACTGAACACCGCCAAAATGGGAGCCCGACCAGTCCACTGTGGGGCCGCGAACGACCGACACCAGGTCGGTCAACCGGTGGGTATCCTGGTGCTCTCCCCACAGCCGGAGGATCAATTCCAAGGGGATGCGAATTCATCCGAAGCGTTGAAACGCTTTGTGACAGCCACGAATCGGCCCTGCAGATCCGGTCTGGAGGGCCGTCCATGCCAATTCCCCAGCGTTCGGTGGGCCCCGGTCGGGTCGTCGCCTTTTTTCGCCCGGTCGGGTCGTGGTCAACTGCTGTCGGCTTCGTCGAAGGGGCCGGAACAGTGAGGGATGCACGACAGTGCTGGGGGCTTCAGTCTGCTGCAAATTGTTCGATTTGTTTTCCCCTGCCTTTCGGTCACAGCAATGTGCTCAGTGTGTTCAAGAACCACCCATAGTTTCAAAACCGCAGAGAGTGGGATACTCTTTGTGGCCTGAGGGAAATAGAGTTTAAAGATAAATTACAAGACTCGTGCATGTAGTATAGGGGATTGACAGCCTGCATGCCCGTCAGTTCGCTTCAATTAGACGTTCTAGGTTCAACTTTAACGCTGTTCAGTTTGACTTTGTGAGTAGTCACTTGGCGTATTCGATCTCCTGTTTTGTATCAGATGGACCATGGAAGGAAGGTTCTCATGCTTCCAAAACAAATATCGTGATTGTCGTGGCCACCAATGCCAACACAATGAACAACCAGCCAGTCAATCATGCTTGTCCCCTAGGCATATCCCGCCGTATTGACGCAACTGCTGGAGTGAGGTCAAACTTAGACCCTTTGGTTGTTAATTCATGATGGACATGAGTGCACTTACCAATTGAAGGCTCATGTGCTTTGGGGCCCAACATATCCAACATATATTGCCAATGCGCCCAATGCGTGATCTTCTCGCAAGAAATCAATCACATTCTGCAACCCCCAAAGTTACATGTTCGAAAACTTCCTGATCCAGTTAATTTTGCTTCCAAGAGAGACTTTTCGCGGTCTGACACTCTTTTTGCAGGGGGAAGCCCATGGTGCTCCCTGCGGGTTTAGAGCTTCGAGAACCGACTCCTCAGATCTGCCGCTCTGCCGCTCTGCCGCTGTCGCTCGCAGTTGTCTGTCGCTCGCTGGCCCAGGTGGCACGTCTCTTCACGTCACTTCTTCAGATGTTTGTTACTCTCGCTCCTCTTGACCTTTGCACTGGCTCTGGACCTGCACCGCGAGACGCGCTTCGTCGCGGTTCGCTTCCCACAGCTGCGGATACGCCCGCGCTGGCTGGTGGGCACCAAGGCCGTTGCTGCGGGAGTTGCAGCCCCGGGGGTGGAATTGGTATCGATGACCCTAGGAGTTCGTGCACCTAGAGTCAAGCTAACATGGGCTCCAAGAATGGGATTGTTCCATCCCAATGTGGATTGATGAGATCTCCATAGATCTCCAACCTGTATTCGAATGTGGATTCTTTGGAACGCTCCTGAATGTTCCAGATCTCGAAGCTGTCGACATTTTCTAATCAGTCGTCGTGCTTGACTCAGCCTGTTGGATTCACATCAGTTTCACCCCCTGGATCGGACCATTTCCCCAATGCTTCAGACGTGCCGTGCCATCTCCCCTACTGCCGCCTCACTCGGGGAACCGCACGCAGACGGCGGTCTTCCTGTTCGGCAGGTGGCACCGCTCGTGGGCCGGGTGACCGCGCTGCACCGATGGCTCGATCTGACACCCTGGGCCTTCTTCAACCACGTGCAGACGGTGCTGTTTGCCTTTTGGTGACCTGGAGGGAGAGATGGTGAACTTGTTTGGTTTCTCTTTTACTTTTTTTCCTAAAGAAGCAGGAGTTGACCTAAGAATCTTCGTGTGAAGGGAACCTGTTATTTGCCCGGGACTCGGGGTCGTAGTCGGAGGTCCTGTTTTCCTTTGAGGTCCTGTTAGAGTTTGAGTTCGTTGCTTCGTGTGGATATTGCTTGATGTGTTCCTTGCGGTGGATATCGCTTCGGTGCTGCAATGTTCATACTGGCCATGTGTCAATAGAGGTGGCAACCTTGACTAATTGCAAGGCCAAGTGCATCCTGTGTGCATCCCAAGTGCATTGCGCGGCATGTCGACTTGGCACATTGACTTGGGACGAACCAAGAACCCCAACAAAGCAGTTGCTTGAATCAACCCCCAAGGATACTTTTTCAGGAGCTTGAGACCAAGAGGAAATGGTACCTATAATTACAATGTGCATACCACTATTAGTCTTAGGACATACCCTCAATTGTCCTCCCAATCTTCTTGGAACCTCCAAGGCCACTGATGTCACCCGAGGCCAGCGGACACAAACCGGACTGCGGGACGTGTGGAAGGTCATGGAACGTTTGGTCACAGAGAAGGTGGATCTAATGTATTTGCAGCACTCTTGCAGCACTTGGTATCTACATTTGTTCACGGAACCGAGTCAACCTTCAGGTGAAGCATCACCATTGGCATCACCATGGTGTCACATGAATTCGAAGCTTCATTCGTTGCGAGCTATCCTTTGGACAGTGCTCTTCCACCAGTCCCCTTGTCTTGGGGTTCTACCAATCCATGGTTTGGGAGAGGGATGATCCCAAGGTCTGCAACAGAACTGTTTTCCGACCCTCTCTTGAAGAACCCTAGTTCGTCTATCCCATAGGTACCTCAGGACCAAGGCCCTATA